CATATGCCTTCGTGACTCTAGCTCTGATAGTTTTCATGACTCATCGGACCACGTGGACCACCGCCCTGCCACCACTCACTTCTCATTTAATGTTGAAGTGATTTTTCCCCCAATCACCGGCCGACACCTGTAAAGCAAGTGCTGACGTGGCTGCCAGCCCATGCTTCGCCACCGCCTCTCAGCGCTCGGCCGAAGTGACCAATCTACCATTCTACTCATGGTATATATACATGTACTATTCGAACTTTAAAAGAATTCCAAAACTAGTTAAAAATGGGTTCACAAACGGGATCTCTTGAGAGATATCTGCAAAATTATACTGTACACATACAAGAACTCTTACAGTTCTTATTTATCCCACTCAAGTTCATCAGCTAACTTGATCGTTAGAGGTACAACGGGGGAACCAAGCCCCGTTCTCTCACAAATGTCTACAAGTGCATATTTTTCAACCACCTAGCTCAAAAACCAGGCATAAAGTCAGAGAAGAAAGCGGCCTCTCATCAATACTCAACAAACTCATCCAAACATGGATACATAGGGCTGTTCAAAAAGCCCGCCGACACGGGCCCGAACGGGCTAGAACCCGACCCGGCCCGGGGTTGGCTCTGAAACCCGGGCCAGACCCGGGTCAGGGCCCAGGCCCGGTCTCGACGGAGACCCGCCGGCCGGGCCCAGGCCCAGCACGGTACAGTGCCGAACAGGCACAGTATCCCGGAGCCCGCCACGATCAACAACGGTCCTCTCTCGTGACCATTACGGGTAATTCTGGCTGAGTTAGGCAGGCGCCTGGCCCGATCGGCGCCAACGGTCACCAGAGGTGACCGTTTGGCGAAAACGATCACGGAAGTGATCGTTACGGCCGGGCCGGCCTGACCCGGCCAATTTGCCCCTAAAATGGTTTAAAACGGCGATTTTGTGAGGGTTTTTTGGTCATTTGCCTAGGAGGCTGTCTGCCTCTATAAATAGATGAGGGTTTTTACTTCTTCTCCTCACACCAAAACTCATCTACTTCTCTCTAATACTCTCTTATACAATCTTATACTCTCTACTAATCTCTTATACTTTCTAATCCTTCTATCAAATGGCTTCCGAATCTGATTATGAAGAGCAAAACATATCTCCTATCGATCTTGAAATGAGTCCTCCTACAATAGTTACTCCTACCGATCCTACCGGTGTTAATCCTGAATCCGGTGGCGACGAATCTGCACCAAGAGCTCCTAAAAGGCTGAGATCCGATGTGTAGAATTTTTTTGAGAAGATAGACGTTATCAAGGATGAACACGATAGGATCCTAACCCAGAAGGCTAAATGTACGTTGTGCGGCCAGACTTTCCAAGCTCATCATAAGAGCGGCACTAACCACCTCAAACGCCATATAGAAAAACATAACAAATACCAGAATCCTCAATGTGATATCTGACAATCTATAATTTCCCAATCCTCCTCTCCGGTAGTCTCGGTAGTTAGAATTATGACGCTGCCCGAGCCAGGAAATGCGTAATCAGGTTTTTATTCTTAAAAACCTTCCTTTTAAGTTAGTAGAAGATGGTGAATTTGAAGATATATTTAGAGATCGTTTTTATCCCGTATTTACAAAATTTTCTCGTCAAACCTATCAACGTGATATTTTAAAACATTATCAGGAGGAACAAAGAAAAATAATTTCTTATTTTAAAATTTTAAACTATAAATTTTCTTTAACTTCTGATATTTAGACATCTAGAGCACAAACTGATTATTTATGTATCATAGCACACTGGATTGATGAAAATTAGCAAATGTTTAAAAGAGTTGTTTGCTTTATTACAAATAAAGAGTCACATACTAGTATTAATATTGTAAATTTAATAATTGAAGAACTTATGAAACTAGAAATTGATCAAAGAATATTTTCTCTTTCACTAGATAATGCAAGTAATAACAATATAGCTATTGATTTTATCAAAACAACTCTGTCATTGCCATGTTATGGTGATCTTTTTCATATTAGATGTATCTGTCATATTTTAAATTTAATTATTCAAAGTGCATTTACTGAAATTAAATCTATGATAGAAAAGGTTAGAACAGTTGCTAATATGCATAATGCTTCTGAACAAAGAATTAAAAGATGGAAACAATTTTGTAAAAGAAAAAAATTATAAGCCTAGACTAATTCCAAAATTTGTTGACCATAGGTAGCATTCCTCCTATGCAATGTTAAGCGTGGCAATAGAACATAAGGAAATTATAAATGATTTTATAAATTATTATGCTTCTAGTTCTAGCTCTGGTAGCACTTATGGAATAACTGAAAATCAATGGACAACTATATGTAATTTAAATAAGATATTACAATTTTTTTATGATGCTATAATGTTATTATTTGGCTGTTATTATCCAACTATTACTTTAGCTGCTTTACAAATTTTAAATATTCAAAATTTCTTTAACAAATATCGTATAAATGATACTTTTGGAGCTATATTTTTTCAAATGGAGAGCAAATTTAATAAGTATTTTAGGTCTATTCCTCATATTTTTGGTTTGGGGTTTCTTATTGATCCATGATTGAATGATATTCACCTTCGAAGTTTGTTACAATCATTGTATGATGGACAGATTATAGACTTAGATGATGGATCCACCCTTACTGCTACTTCTCATCATTTAGCTATTAGAAATTATTTTCAAACATTATATGATGAGTATGCAACTAGACATGGTGTAGTTGCACAACAGTCTACAGCTTCGGTGCCTTCGAGCTCAAGCTGAGGTAAAAGTGTAAGTTTTGATAGGTATGCAATGGTAGCTGAGCTAACTGATGGATCTGGACTTGGATCATCATTAGAGGTTTCTGAAATAGATGAATATTTATCTGCTTTTTTAGTTAAATGTCAAGGAAATGCTTTAGATATTTTGCAGTGGTGGAGAGTATACAGATCAGTTTCATATCATATACTTTCCACCATGGTTCGTGACTTACTAACAGTGCAGGTTTCGACGGTAGCTTCCAAATCCGTCTTCAGCACAGCAGGACATTTGATTGACGATCACAGGACATGCTTAGATCCATATACTGTACAAACGGTGATGTGCTTACACGATTAGTGGAGGTACGAGAAGCGAACGCAAGGCATCGATCGGATGGCTGGAATTGAAGATAAATTTGAAGAGTTGGGACTAACAGATAGATATAAACATTAAACAATATTCATCGAATTGTAATTTTTATTTCTTAGCTTTAAATTTGTAATGAATTATTTTGGAAATAGTTACAAATGATAGTGATATAGGTGAGTAGGTGTCAACCTAGTCGGGGTGTACTCATCTATTGTGATGCGACGAATTAGAAAATAAATTTATACTTATAAATGATTTACTGATTATTAATAAAAAAGTTATTTTTATCATCTTTCATTTTTATAATTTTTTGTATTTGTAATTTATGTTATTTCAAGTTATTAATAATATTATTGTTTTTTATTAGCATTTTCTGTAATTTTTTTATGTATATTTTAAAATTTAAAGAGATTTTTAAAAAAATAAAAAAATTTAAAAAAAAGTTAAAAAGTCCGGGCTCTGGTTTTGCCCGGTCCGGGCCCGTTTTTCTGGGCCGGGCCGGATGGACAGACCTACGGATACATATTGACTATGTGATCACTAGTACATAACAGCAACGTATAAGCTAACTTATTTGACATTTTATCAAACATGAAAAAATAAAAAAAAAACTAGCTTAAAAGCTAGTTTGACAAAAAAAAGCCTCCCCAAACACTCTCAGGTAGTTTATATTATGGATGAAATTTTGACTTTACCATATACAATTTCCTAGTTCTCTCTCTCTCTCTCTCTTTTTCTTTTTTGAAAAAAGGAAAAAAAAATTCGTCACTTATGTCTCGCATAAAAACTTGAAGGATGAGTTTACCTTCTTATTGTAAAGATGTTTAGCTATGTGTATGTGGCTAAATACATTTAGACTTTTTATTTAAATAATTCACTACGATTTTGATCTTTATTTTGAACCTCATCTCTTATATTTGGAACAATAATATCCAAATTGCATTGAATTCAGCTTACTTGCATACGGTAAAGAAAAAAGATCTAATTTTAATCAGATCAAATTTATACAATCCGCTAGCACAAATAACTGCAAATAGACTTTTTTTTTAAAGTTTGCACCAATCTATTCCTCTTATGGGGAGCATGGATTACTGTTATCTAGCATTTTTGTTCATGTCTATTTGTAGTTAAGATATATCCAAGATTCATGGGGTCCAAACTAGACATAAACCTTGTAAGTGGTGGCATCCATTTGAAATTGCATTCCACCACAACCAATAATTTCCAACATTGGGAATGTAAATTACCATTTAACTTTTGGCATCATAAATAGTGCGAAAATATGATCCTTTTGCGGGAATTTCCTTTAGTGTTCACTCATGTACTAAACAGAGAAGGATCAGTTGCATCTTTCAGAAGAAGACATAGAGGTTTATTAACACCTCCATCTTTCAGAAGAACAAAAAGAAAACTTCTCATCACTAGTACAAAACTGGTCTGCCCAAACAGTTATTAGAACCGTTTGGGCAAATCAAGATAGCCCAAACGGTTCAAACCGTTTGGGATAATAATTCCAAACGGTTTAAACCGTTTGGGAGTTTAGAAAAATCCATACGGAACATCCAAACGGATTTAACCGTTTGGGATATTTTATACCAAACAGGTAAACCTGTTTGGGAGTTTTGATGAATCCTACAAAATTGAAATTTCATTTCCCCGCTATATTTTCCCGTTCTCCCTCTGAACCCGCGATATTTCCCCAAAATTTTTCCCTAAAAACCGCCCTCCTGCGCCTCCGCCTCGTCCTCCACCGCTCCTCCACCTCGTCCTCCACAGCTCTCCGCCTCCTCCTCCACCGCTCCTCCGCCTCCTCCTCCACCTCTCATCCGCTTCGTCCTCCACTGCTCCTCGCCTCCTCCTCCACCGCTCCTCCGCCTCCTCCTCCACCTCTCATCCGCCTCGTCCTCCGCCGCTCCTCGCCTCCTCCTCCACCGCTACTCTGCCGCCTCCTCAATCGCCTCTCGATTCCACACGCTACTCAGCCGGAATGAGTCTTGTTGTTATGCTTAGTAAGGTATATTTTCCATTGTAAGGTAGATTTTTTTTTTAATTTTAGAAAAAGGCTCTTCAATCTTTTCAGACCAAATTTACAATTATTAGCTCAAGTGGTGTTGGTTTGTGCATTGTTCAAGTGTGTGTGTGTGTGTGTGTGTGTGTGTGTGTGTGTGTGTGTGTGTGTGTGTGTGTGTGTGTGTTTGTTATCTGTATAGCTGATATTTTGGTGGTTGGGTTGCAGTATTCGGTGGATCAGTCGGCGGCTGAGAGGTTGAAGAAGATCTGTTATGGTTGATGCCCAGTAAGTGCTTGATGAAATTACTCAGTTGGATAATAATAAGATTTTTAGCAGTTTTGGATGATGAAGTAAGTTCAGATTGACTATTTGAAGTTTACAAGCATGAGCTTTTATGGTAGGAATATAAATGACAGTTGAACTGAGCTGGATTTATTTATTTTGAGCTGTATACTCTTTATGTCAAATCTGGTGGATTAGCTTATGAATTCTGCTGCAAAATGATAATAATGAATACTGTTGTCTCAATTTTTTGTCGGCTTTCTGAATTCTTTTTCTTTCGTTTATCTGTAGATGAATAATTAGTCAAGTTAGAAGCCTTCATATTTCATTTTCAGCTTCAATTCAAGCTTATTTGCTCTATCCCTTATCCTGGTATTCCACAGCTATGTTAGAAGCCTTCATATTTCATTTGCAGCTTCTAATAGTCTCCTTACATGCTTAATCTGGGTAATTTTCTATCATTTATTGATGTTATCTTAATTTTCCATGAATGAACACATTCTGTATTCAGTCTTTTTCTCACAATGGCTGCTTACTCGTTTTCAGATAAATTCATCTCTTGAACATAATTTTCTTGAATGCTTGACATTTTACCTTTAAATTATAACTGATCTTATAACCATCTAGTGGAAACTTTCTGTTCACTTCATGGGCTATTATATGATCACATAATACTGTGGACATTTCTCCACTTCAGCCATCCTGCCTTTTGTAATGGGAGATGGGTTTTCTCACTCAAGTTGCTAGCACTACTGCCATACACAGTCCTTAATCACCACATTATAACTGCTAAATACTCAATTTCTTTTGATAAAGTACTTGCTTCTTTTGACGCAACATGTAATCTCTAAGGATCTCATCCTTTTATATAAGCACTAGCCTATGTGTATTGATATCCATGAGTTACAAATGAAGAGTTGGCGTTAAGTACTTTAGGCAGGTTGGGTTGGGTTAGCTGGCACACATCTTAGCCTAAATCCAACCTATCTAAAATTTGGTCAAGGTTTAAACTGTATCTTACTAAAAATGAAAACATTTGACCTTAAACTCAGGTTAAGTTTGAATTGTTTCATGGTCAGGTTTGATCCAATCTGCAAAGTTACAGCACTCTGCACGCGATACTTAGATTCCATTCTCTATATAGATAGATGTACATAATGACAGGGTTCATCATGGTTGGTCATGCAGTTGATAGGATTGGTCATGATTGGTTATGCGGTTCATTTGTATAGTTTTATTGAAGTTACTATTTAAAACATGCAGGAATATTTTATATACTGGTATATATCATCTAGCACATGCGTGAAATGTTTTTGTCAGATTATCATTGTCAAGGGTAAGGGTTTAGTATAAATTTTTATTTTTTAAACATATGACAATAGATCAATATATCAATGTTGGAAGACCCCATTTCAGGTTGGTATTAGGCATTCAATCTTGAATGTGGTTTCATTATGGAAGTTTCAAAGAGTTTCAGGTCTGAGTTTCTCTTTCAGAATTTTAGTAAACCTTGTTACAAACATAGGATTTCTAGACGTTTTGGGCTCATGTTTAGAATTCTGCAGAATTTAAAGTTATTTATATTCTTGAAATGTTTTCTCTGTGCTGTAAATTTAGTATTGAGTTGCAGGCTACTGAGGCATTACTTCATGCTAATTCGATCCAAGCAATTGCCCCAGGACATCAAAGCTGCATCAGGACATCAAAGCTGCATCAGGTTAAGCAAGCATTCTGAAATTATTTTCATTTTTAGCATTTTCATATGTACATTATATATGTGTGTATTATCTGATTGGGAAGAATTGCTTTTTAGGAAAAATTTGGCGTTCAAAGTTAGCATAAAACGAGAAAAGGCAATTTGATGAAACTTGTGCAGATAATATCAGTAATTCAAAATGTGATGAGTACAGCATTCATGTTCTATCTACTAGCATTTGGCCTGTTTGTTCTTAGGGAAGGTGAGGGGAAAGGCAGTCTATCAAGAATTTGCTCCAGGTTATGTTTCCAGTCGATGGTACTCACATTGAAACATGACTCATATACTCTTATAATTTTCATCTGTTATTCTGTTGCTTTCTTTTCCTTCTATGTAACGATGATGCTGCAATAAAACAAGGTCAGACGGTATTTAAATCTATCTCTTTATCGGTCTTCTTGATTACACATACCCATGAATACTTACATGCACGCATCCATCAATGCAGATAGATCTACCAAGGGAGAGACAATGCAAAGACCGAAAACATGAACCGGTATTATACATGGATCGGGTCATCGAAAAGATAACCTCATTTTGGATATTAGAGACAAGTATATAATATTAGATGCTTTTCATTGTGAGATATTGAGTACATTGTGTATGTATATGTTTTGTCTCTAAGTATATTGAGTAAACATTGTGTATGAATATATAACATTGGATATTTAGCAAAGTATGAGAATATTTTGATTTCATTGTGATATGTTGAGTACTTATTATGTGAGATGTGTATATAAACATTTGAAACCGTTTCGGGGGAAAATAAATAAAAAAGCCAAAATTTTAAAACTATTAAAATAAATAGCCCAAACGGTTTCAACCGTTTGGGCTAATTTTCGCCCAAACGGTTTCAACCGTTTGGGCTAAAATTTGGCCCAAACGGTTGGAACCGTTTGGGCGATTTTTTGCCCAAACGGTTTCAACCGTTTGGGCAATATCCCAAACGGTTGTAACCGTTTGGGGTTTTGCCCAAACGGTTGCAACCGTTTGGGCGACCGTTGGGGACAATTCGTCCCCAACGGCTTTAGCCCAAACGGGTGTTTTACGTCTCCCAAACGGTTGGAACCGTTTGGGAGGGGGTTTTCCCAAACGGTTCCAACCGTTTGGGCAGACCAGTTTTGTACTAGTGCATCCTATTAAACTTGATATAGCCTGATCTTCTTGCCTTTAACGACATACCTTTATGAGCTTTTGGTAAAAAAGGTATGCTCGAGGTTGGAGGCACTTATACATTTTTGAATGATGGAGGTATGAGATGTCTTTTGGCTAAGAATATTTGCGTATCAAAGCTTCTCTTAAAGTTAGAGCTGTTATATGGTTGATGAATAAAACTGTAATTCTTACATGAGACAACCTTATGAAGCTTAAATGGCAAAGTCCAAATATATGCGTGCTATATAAAGGTGAAGAATAAACAGTGAACCATCTCTTTTTAGATATCCTTATTCTGTTAAAGTTTAAAAGAACCTTCTAGCTTATTTCAAAATTGATACATACTTTGATTCCACCCAACAAATAAGAATTTAAAACTTGATACATACTTTGATTTTAAATCTTCTAGCTTATTTCAAAATTGATACATACTTTGATTCCATCCGGCAAATAAGAATTTAAAACAAATATGGGGGGTTACTAGAGCTGCAATTGCTAGAGCTAAGATGCAAGCCTCGAGGGGGAATGAATAGGATTGCCTACTAATTTTCTAAATATCATAGAATATGCAGCAGAGTAAACAGATAATAAAAATACATTAATCGCAGAAATAATCACAATCATAACACATGAAATTTTATAGTGGTTCAGATGAATAATCATACATCTACTCTTCCTTCTCGGGAAGGGGTTTTCTCACTATGTAAAAGTTCCCTTGACTCACAAACTCGATTCAATAGGCTTGTAAGACGGAAATCCTAGTTTCTCCCAAACTAGTCGTATAACCTAAACTCTTCACACATGAGTATTCCTAGCCCTAGCTAGTGATAAATTTTCTCAATTCAACCCCAAGTTGAGTGCATCGTAAACTCTCAATTCACACCTACTTGAGTACACCGTAAAAACAAGCCTAATACAAAAAAAAATTTAATAACAATTAAGTGCAACTAGAAAGATCTTATAGCCATTTGATTGTGCAAACCATTATCCTAATTGTTGATGTTAATAATCACACATGTTGATGTTAATAATCACACATATAATGTAATGGGGGTGAGGTTGATTAGGGGCCGCTAACTTCTCCGAATATCTGGTTTTGAGTTAAGTAGCTTCTTCCTGCACAAATAACAACTCGTAAGAGGACGGGGACTAGTTCCCCCGTTGTTCCTCCGAGATCAAGTTAGTGATGGACTTGCGTGGGAAAGTGATGAATTGTGTGAATTCTTAAGTGTAGAGGAGTGGAGAAGAATTCTGGGAGATTGCTTACCCTATTATTTGGAATAGTTTTTTGTTTTATAGCCAAGCAAGAGGGGTAGTCTAGTCTTTTTGGCCGAGCCCGAGCTGGTGGCTGAGTCGGCATCTACTTTACAGATGTCGATGATGCGGGTGGCGCTAGTGGTGCTGCTAGTGTGGCTGTTGCTGCTGCTTAGGTAATGGTTGTGGAGGTCTCTATGGTCTTGACCGCCGCCTTATAAGCTCGGGCATCTTTCATGTCCATATACCCATGAGCTTTGGCCATCAGTTGTCCATAATTATTGACCGGCTTCTTAGCAAGTTAGTTGACCAATTTGTTGTTTTGCAAGCCGGCCACAAGAGCGAACATAACAATCGCACTCCTCGGGTCATTAACCTCTAGCCTCTTCGTCTGTAATCTCTTAAAGTAGGTTCGAAAGCTCTCTCCGGGCTCTTGTCTCATCTGGATTAACACATGAGGGGACAACTTTTGTTCGGTGTCAGCCAAGAAGTGATGGATGAACTTCTGGCTGAGTTGCTGAAAGCTACTAATGGACTTCTTCTCGAGGGTGTTCCACTAGAGCTTGGCGCTCCCTAACAGAGTGATGGGGAAGCATCGGCAAATAACTGCTTCCGATGCTTGGAGCATGCCCATTACATCATAATAGTTCTGGACATGCTCGGAGGGGTCTCCTTCGCCCTTGTACTTTTCCACATGAGGCATCTTGAACTTCTCACATGGGGTGTTCATGAGGTCATCGGGAAGGGGGGTGTTCCTCCCAATGACTTCTGCGATCCGTCTATACACCCGATCATATCCAAAGGCCTCTACGGTAGTAGAGGGGGCCAGAGAGGCATGGTGGTAAGGGAGAGTCTTAGATACTGCTCCCCTAGTGTGATCCATAGGGTCACCAGGGCCGGGACTCTCATCAGTGACTTCAGGAATAGGGAGAAGACGTCGGCAAGGTTCCTCAGGGCGAGTCAACCGATGTGGCGGTGTGGTCGCTACTCAACGTGATCCCTCCGCTACTTGGTTGCAGCATGAGAAGTCCGAGGTGAGACTATTTGCTGTGCTCCAGGAGGGGGGTGAGTCCTTGATTGCCAGTCTTCAGAAGGTGGGGGGATTAAACAAGTAGCTTGTTGCGGCTGTGGAAACCGGTTGAGGAGCTCGCTGGTGAAGGTAGCAAGCTGCTGTTGGAGGGATTGAGAGATCTTTTGAGTCATTTCTTCAAGCTAAGCTTGAGTAACATAGCTCTAGTGTGGTCCTCTAGGGTGAGACTGATCAGCCCTATACTCGGAACCAGACATATTTGCTAGAAAAGGAAAGAAGCCCCACAGTGGGCGCCAAACTGTTATGTTGATAATCACACATATAATATAATGAGGGTGAGGTTGATTAGGGGCCGCTAACTTCTCCAAATATCTCATTTTGAGTTAAGTAGCTCCTTTCTACACAAATAGCAACTCGTAAGAGGATGGGGACTAGCTCCCTCGTTGTTCCTCGGACAATCAAGTCAGTGATGGACTTGAGTGGGAAAGTGATAAATTGTGCGAGTTCTTAAGTGTAGTGGAGTGGAGAAGAATTCTAAGAAATTGCTTACCCTAGTATTTGGAATAGTTTTTCCATTTATAACCAAGCAAGAGGGGTAGTCTAGTCATTTTGGTAGAGCCTAAGCTGGTAGCTGAGTTAACATCTACTTTACAAGTGTTGGTCATAGAGCGGTCACGGGATGGGCGCTGTCATTTCGGTATTAATGAGATGGGATAGGTGGTGCACGAAGTCGGCGTGGTCCAATGTACCATAAATAGTGCAAGGGATGGAGAAATGATGGTGCCTGTCAAGTATTTAATATGATGCCGATGCACTATCAGCATGGGAGGTTTGAGGTTAAAGTCGTCCTTTGGCTTGTAGTGAGGGGGTTGAGAAGCAACACCTTTTGAGTCAACGCTGTGAGGTGTCGAATAACTGGTCGAATAGGCTCGTAGCGAGTCGTCTTCAACAAGAGGGTTGACAAGTATCGCCCTTTGAGTTGACTTAAGGAGATGCTGAATCGGCGAGTCTGCTAAGTCAGGATTCTTGATGGTTCTTATCATCAATTCGATTTGAATGGTTCATGTAAGGGACACATGTTCGTTGCTGGCAAAGGGTCATACTTTGGCGATGGAAAACACGACAACACTAAAATTGAAGCGAAGTTCTAAGAAGAATGGTGATGATGATGAAGTCCAAAAGCAGCACTCTTTAAAGGTTGATGATCGGATGATGAAAAGCAACATCAAGGATGCTTCCTGAGAAGCCTGAGCAAGACCCTTTCACCAATTTAAAACCCTAGC